GTGGCAATTACCTTTTTTTTTTTTTTTGGAAGAGACGTGGCAATTACCTTTTCTTCTTCGATTTATTTATTTATTTATTTGGAGAATTCTTGGATTTATTATTTAATTTGAGATATTTACATGTAGGTTTTTATCCCCTATTTCAACTTTTGTGATTCTTGATTGGTATAGTGTTATTTCTTTTTATACGATTTCGAAATAGTTGGCAGTCCAATTCGGATTTAATCACATTTCTCAGTTAATTTTATTTATTTTTTATCGAAATTGATGGGTAATTTTGATTGAATATCGTCTCCGATTGAATATGTGAGTGAATTTAGTTTCTATGAATACATGCACAGTACAGTCACAGCACTATAATTAGGATAGGTATTGTATCGTACTCATCATATATATATATATATATATATATATATATATATATATATATATATATATATATATATATATATATATATATATATATATATCGGTTTTTCGGTGTTAATCTAACTAAATGAAGACAGCTACCACTAGACCAAACACTAAGCGGTCTTATGAACGTTGTATTAGTACATTAAATGTTGCTAGAGCAAGCGACCAAGAATAAGTTGTTTTTCCCATAAGCAAAAATAAGATTCATCTTCTTTCATTAAACACAATTACACAAACCTCGAACATTTGATCTAACATAACTCTAACTTATTTTTTCACATCCTCATCACTTGGCCTAATAATAAAAACTTAAGCAAGTTTACATCTTTGATATTTTCCTAATTTACTATCCAAAATAAATTATTTAATATGATAATAGAATAACAAGAATAAGGGTATGGTTAAACAAGTTAAACAAAAAATGATCAAAATTCTTACTTGCAGATGGCGCTTTTTACAGTAGCAGAAAACAATTATGTTTGTAGACTTTAGTGCGAACTTAACCTCTACCGATTTCTCTCTTCCTTTTTTTTCACTAATTTCTATTTTCCTTTAACGATTAACTATTTAACCCACAAAAACTTTTAAAATCTAAGGGCATACAATTGGATTAGAAGTTTTCCGATCCTAATCAAAACCCGATGACCGGTCTTTAAACCGTGGCAGACAATGCTGGATGGAGTTTGAGTTGGCCCAAAATTAAACTGAGATGGGCTTTGAGCTGAATGTAATAACATAAGAAATCCAAGCCCATTGAGTTGGTGACTCATCACCCTCCTCCCACTGCCCAACAAAGTTGAACATTGTTATTCTGAATTCAATGAACACTTTCGGATGCCAGCAATCGAACCGAACTTCTCAAGTCCTTACCAATGAATGCAACATCTCCTCCCTCTGCTTTGTACTAAATAATTTGGTGGCCCGTTGGCATTGAAGGTCATGAGAGGAAAACATGTCATCTACTGCCACTTACTTTCTAAGAGACATCAAGTCTGGGACACCGAGTCGAGTGTAAGCGTAAATGATGTTAATCGATTAAGTAACAAATGTCTTGCGACAAATCTAAGAGAAAACATGTCATCTATAGTCAGTTGGTGGCCAACTCACAGAAGTCCACTTTTTGGAGGCTGAAAAGACTCACGGAGGTATTTCAACCTCTCATGATTCATCGTATGATTCACCAGCACCAAAAATCGAATTCAAGGACGAACCGTGTGAAATATGAACTTGGAATTCGCCCTAACCCCTCGACCATCCCGTTGTGGCTAACATAAAGATTTTTAGCTAAAAGTCGATACTCTTACAAGTTACAACTTACGTCATTGTTCAATTATTCCCTCCGATTATCTGCTTACTTACATGAACTGAGAATTATAATTATTTTGATCCTTAACATATCTTGTATTTGCTAACGTATGAATATTTTTACAAGCACATATAAAAGAATTTGCAAAATATCTCTAAAATTTAACGTAATACATGACATGTGTAAATATAAAGTAAACATATCATAAAATTAGTACATTAGAACGTCTACCTAGAGAGAAGTCAAAGTGGTGAGAATATTTCCAACTTTGTTTTCTAAAGGAAGATACCTCTTCCAACTTCCAACTTCCAACTCCAACTTGGGGACTTTGATTTGGTCACCTAATCCTTGATTGGTCGCTACCTTTCAAATCCATTTCCCCCATTACATGGGAATGTGACTATATTGCGTGTAGCCGCCAGTAGCCGCCAGATCTCCGCTCGAAGCGCTAAATTGTAGGTTTTGATGGGCCAATCGTTGGATACAAGTCAACCGGAGGATTTTGATTTTCGAATTAGTGCAATTAAATGTTGATTTGTTTGTACCGTATTTAGCGGATAATGTCTCGCTTAACGAGTGATGTAGCGTGTGCAATGGTTTTGATATGACCTCGCGTGTTTACGGTGGTTTTGGTTTGACCTCACTTATTAACCATGGTTTAATGTGACTTCACTTGTGTGGCAGTGACATTAGTGTGTTCCGTGATAAGTCTGTTGCTCCTGCCGTCTTTGTGGCAAATTTGTACCAAGGTGTTTGTGGTAGTGTGCGCGTGCTTGTGGTAGCCGATTAGGGGATTATCATCATTGATTGTTTGTGCGAATTACCTTTAGATCAAATATTTGGTCAATGGAGATTGTACCCATGTGGCAACCCTTGTAACTGTTATTGTTATCGTTATTAATGAAAAATCGCTACCGTTTCTTGTAAAAAAAATAAAAAAAAACGTATAAGCACCAAATAATACATTTACATAGCATATGCCGTTGAAGAATTTACAAGCGACTATAATGTTAAAATGACGGTATCTCAAGTATATTACTATACGATACAATTTGAGCTACTCAAATTATAGTGTGTGAAAGACTTGAGGAGAGATCCTCTTATCTTATAAAGTTTTAATCTCAATCGCGTCGTTGTCAAATAAACACTTGCTATGTATTCAAAAAGTGTAATACTCATCCGGTTAATGATTATCTCATACCTAAGAGACTGTTATTTTAATATGCGAGATATGATACGATATATACACACCTAAGTTTCTCCCTCTCTTAAGTCTTATGAGGTTGTAATTGTCAACTAGAAGACCCACGATTACAAAAGAAATGAATAAACTTTGCAACACATCCACGTGTAAACAAAACCAAAGAACGTTGTATTCAAAGAAAAAGAGTCTACAAATTACAAAGGTGACGATTTCGAAGATGAAGGGCAAAGTCTGTCGTCCTCCTCCGATTCCAAGATTAGAATATTTTTGTATTTGGAACAGTTTGATTAAGTCGGTAATCCAATTATAATATCATAGTTTATAATATTAGACTCTATCGTCATGGTTGTATTTAAATAATAAGGCTGAACCACGAGGTAAATGGTAGATTACGATACTTTTTTAAAATTAAAAACTGGAGGTTTTGGGTTTGAAATTCATTACTGGTGTGAAAGCCAGACTTGTGGTCAGAGGGAGACTGAAATACCTCTATGAGCTTTCTTGATCATGAAAAATGATGGATAACCATGATTTACCACCAATTGTTTCCTTTAAAAAAAATAATAATAATAAGGCTGGCTTTGTCTGAGAAAGTTATCTTGTTTGCGGTAAAATATATTATAAGATTAATTTGGATTCGAGATGTTGGATAAGTTAGAAATACGAGATCTCGACTCACATATCAACGTTGTCTTGGTCATTTTAAATAGAACCATACTAGTTTTGTACATTATTTAGCACAAGAGGGTTGGATTTTTCTATGAATTACATATGCAAATTAGATATTTTACAACGAATTGCATAATTCTGGTAATCTATGGTTTTTATTTATTTTTATTTCTTTTATAAGAGCAAGAATAAAGAAGAAGGAAATCAAATTCGAAAATTTAGGTCTTATATATACATATAGAGCAGATTCGTAGCATTACTTTTTTTATACAATTTTTCTTTTGTGTACATTGATTTGACATATGTTTTTTATGAGCTCACTTCGTAAGGTATATCAATGATACAAATTGTCTATCTTTTAGAACACCATTGGTAGATCATCATTGCAAAAAATTATTCAAGTCCAAAACCATATGTCTCTTGGATTAAGAGGTTAACGTTCTTAGTATAATCGTGTCCGTGCAATTTTTACACTACAAATAAATGTCTTAATGATTTTTAATTTGTCTAATTTTTTGCAAGAATATTCTATGAATGATGTTCTGATGGTTTGGTTGTTAAAATACATTATGGTGTGGATCTCATAACAATGTGTATAAAATATTGTTGCCACATATTAATTAGAGAGAACATTAAATTCACAATCTTTTCCATCTCTAATCCTTGACATCTCGATTTTAAGTAACTAAACATGCGATTAAAATTAAAGAAGAAATGAAAATGGCGGACAACTTGGCTAAAGTTGTGAGCTTCTTAGTAAGTTCAAATCCTTCTGCTCATAATTTAGATGAATGAATATTTTTACTGTATAATTACTTATCTTTTGATCTCTTTTAGAAAAAGGATTAGCTGATGATTTTGTCATAACAGTCGACATTCCAAGGTAGAGAAGACTTACAGAAATATTTAACATTCTTTATGGCAATCATCGTGTGATTCATCAGCATCAGAAATTGAATCCAAAACATGTCATGTGAATTACATACGAATAGAATATCTCATCATTTCTTAAAAAAGTAGAAATAAAATTAAAATGCAACTCATAGGAAAGGATCATCGCCGGATCATTTTCCTAGGGATCTTTTGATCTCACTCGTTTATTGTACATTATACGATCAGAAATCATTTTAAAATTTAAGATTTAAAATTAAATATAAATAGTACTTAACGAAAACAGACCGTGCGATATACGATTAAATGATGAGATCACGAAATCTCTAAGATCTCTGGAAAAAAGATCCGGCGAGAATCCTTTTCCCAACTCATATGGTTGATGAGACCCACAAGAAATAACACATGATTGAAATCAACGGCCAGGAATTAAACGTTTAACATAAAAGTCTCATCCTCAGCTGTCAGATTAACATATAACTCCCCAACTTTCAAACTTAAACCAAATAAATGCCACCAACATTTTAATTATTCACATTTCTATCTTCTTTCTTCTATTCACATTTCTCTCCTTCCTCCTCCTCCGCTCTCGCGCCTGTTTAATAAGTCGGCGGATTTTCTCCACCGTCCGATGCACTTACTTTGACTCCCGCCCCGCCAAAAACCCTAACAATTCAACGATGGGACTTTGCTGCAGCAAGAACGTCGCCGTTTCCGGGGCCGACAACGAGCCCACCGCCGCCCATCAGTCAAAACACTCGCCAGTAGCGCCCGTGCCGCCCAGCCCCAGACCCGGCGATGATCACTCCGGCAAGCACACTCCGGCTAACTCTTTCTCCGCGAGCCCGTGCCCCAGTCCGCTTCCAGCTGGAATTGCCCCGTCGCCGGCCAGGACACCGGGTAGGAAGTTTCGGTGGCCTCTGCCTCCGCCGTCGCCGGCGAAGCCGATCATGGAGGCCATTCGTCGGCGGCAGGGGCGCGAGGCGAAGCCAAAGGACGGGCCGATACCGGAGGAGCATCAGGGCGGCGAGGAAGGCGAGGGAGGAGAGAGAGCACTGGACAAGAGCTTTGGGTATGGGAAGAACATTGGGGCGAAGTTTGAGCTGGGGAAAATGGTGGGTCGAGGCCATTTTGGTCATACTTGCTGGGCCAAGGGCAAGAAAGGAGAGCTCAAAGGACAGCCGGTCGCCGTCAAGATCATAGCCAAAGCGAAGGTGATGATTTATTTGTTTGTTTTAATAATTTAGTTGAATTGGCACTTTCTTGTTTGGTGTTTAAAGCTTGTTTCTTTGTGTATTTTAAGTAAATTTGGATGAATTTAAAGGGCAAATTGCATCCATTTGTGTTGAAGCAATCAGTATTTCAAGTAATCAGCTTTTTATACTTTTGCTTGAAATTGATAAATTTTAATTAGTTGGGGAACAGTCTGATCACTGGATTAAGCAATGGTTATGTGGATTATGCCTGCCCTGCAACAAGTCAAATCCGAAGAACTTTTCGCCTGTTGATCTCTGACTGTGAACTCAGTAGTACTTGAGTTGCTGCATATAAATTTGAATTGAAGTTATATTGGTAATTAAATGAGGGATCTTTTTGCAGATGACAACCGCAATAGCTATTGAAGATGTTCGTAGAGAGGTGAAAATACTGAAAGCATTAGCTGGACATAAGAATCTGGTCAGATTTTACGATGCGTTTGAGGATGCCCATAATGTCTACATTGTCATGGAGTATGAACTTTTTTCCTTTCATTAATATATAGTCATGTTATTCATAAAAACTTGGAATCATGGTTCATCATTGTGTGTGTGTGTGTGTGTGTGTGTGTGTATCAGTATTTTTGGCTGATAAGCCTGTTTTGAAGTTTTCTCATCCTGCTGACCTTACAGGTTGTGTGAAGGTGGAGAACTACTGGATAGGATTTTGTCGAGGTAGAATGAACTGCTTTATTTTCTTGTATTGTACTTGTTATTTGCACTATCGGATTTTACGAGTCAAGGATTTATTCTTAATCACTACTTTGTGGCAGGGGTGGAAGATACACAGAAGAGGACGCTAAAACTATTGTTGTGCAAATTTTAAGTGTTGTTTCCTTCTGTCATCTCCAAGGTGTTGTACACCGTGATCTAAAACCGGAGGTACTATATTCAGAAAGTTTGAACTAACAGTTAGAATAATTGTGAATGTTCACATGTAGTTGTGTTTCAATTCTTCACGTTCGTATCCCAACCAGTAACTAATGACTCTTTTAATTATGAATGCTTGGCAGAATTTTCTTTTCAAAACAAGAGATGAGGATGCTCCATTGAAGGTTATTGATTTTGGTCTCTCTGACTTTACTAGGCCCGGTAATGGTCACTTTCCAGTTTCCACACACCATACTTTGGCTTCAATCTATGATGTGCAGCTGCAAATTGTTTCTTGTCATGAAGTTGATACCTATATGATTATTATTTTTACTGTGTTGCCAACCTGCATTGTCAATAACTATTTGTTTCATTGGAAATATTTTCTTTAACCTTTTTCAAATGGTTTTTTTTTCCTGATATGTTGGCATATTCGTGTGAGAAATCAAACTTCCCTTCCTAGAATTCAATCTATTTATGAGAACTTTAGTTATCTGAACATTATATTGTTTTCACAGCACATTTAGTTCTACATGTGCAGATCAACGCCTCAATGATATTGTTGGAAGTGCATACTATGTTGCACCTGAGGTGTTACATAGATCTTACAGTCTCGAAGCAGATATGTGGAGCATTGGTGTCATAACATATATATTGCTATGTGGAAGTAGACCTTTCTGGGCACGAACTGAATCTGGAATCTTTCGTTCAGTGCTAAGAGCTGATCCTAACTTTGATGATTCACCTTGGCCTTCAGTGTCCTCGGAAGCCAAAGATTTTCTCAAAAGGCTTCTGAACAAGGACCACAGAAAAAGAATGACTGCTGCCCAAGCTTTATGTAAGTTGGTTCTAAATATTTCATACAGTCCAGAATATGATTTTGCACTAAATTTCCCTGCTAGTGTCATGTACAGGTATTTCTTGTTGATTTGCTGATACCTATTTCTTGTGTTCACAGCTCACCCATGGTTACGAGATGAAAACCGTGATGTGCCTTTAGATATTTTAATCTACAAGTTGGTTAAGTCATATGTTCGGTCCTCACCTTTGAAGCGTGCAGCACTAAAGGTAACAGACACTCACAAGAAACCATCCCCTCCCAATCCCCGAAAATGTGAAGGGAAAAAAAAAAGTGAAAAGATGAAGAAACAACTTAAAATCAAAGATAACAAGCTGGGTGCTGTGAGGCATGAATGGCATACTTTGGGGCAATCCAATCTTTCACTCACACACACACACACACACGCACAAACCCACAATTGTGATGTTAGAAGGCATCAAATTTGTAACATATTTCATTATTCACAGGCCCTCTCCAAAGCTATAACAGAAGACGAGCTCTTCTACCTTAGGGCTCAATTTAGACTCTTGGATCCAAAACAAGGATATGTGTCCCTTGATAATTTCAAAACGGTTAGTCCGAGTTCTTTTTGCTTTAACAATATTTCTTTTGTTACATTTTAGATCCCATTTTGGACCCGTATTATCTATGTACATGCTATAATACGGCTATTTGATATCTCTAGTAAGTACCATAGTTAGATGTTCCCAAATTCGTTTATCTTCACTGTTTTTCATGAACTGATCATGAAGAATATTGCAGGCCCTCATGAGAAATGCAACTGATGCCATGAAGGAGTCGAGGGTTCATGACTTTATAAAATTGGTGAGAGATATTCTTTCTTTGATTTCAACGGTGGAATGATCCTAAATTTGTTTGCTAACTTTTGTTTTAAATGATATAAAACTGTAAACTGTTGGATATTCTGTGATATGTAAGGCGGAATAGTGGTCTGTTTCTGCGATGGTTGTATTTAATGAAACAAATAAAGAGAACGCACTTTTTTCTCCTTAATATTGGAGGACTCTAGAAGTTTTGTCTTGAGTTTGTTTTCTTCTCTGACTTTTTCATTGCTGGCTTGTCTTTTCTATTGACACACACAGCCTGGAATCGTAGAATCGATACAATTGATAAATGAAGCCAATTTTCCAATACATTTTTTTTATATTTCTTGAACTGCGGCTTTTGCACGAGGCGTATACTCATATTGTAGTTTTTTTATTCAAGATGGAACCACTCTCACACAAGAAATTGGACTTCGAAGAATTCTGCGTCGCTGCAATAAGTACATATCAGCTAGAAGCTCATGAAGGATGGGAGAACATTGCAAGTACGGCGTTTGAGTATTTTGAAAACGAAGGAAACCGGGTCATCACTGTTGAGGAGTTGGCACAGGTATGCACATCAGTCTTTCGTACAATTGCTGGTGTACATGTTACTTTCAGTATATCATATCGAACAAGCATCTGCATCCGTCTATCAATTGAATATCAGCAAACTCAAGAAAAACAAAAACTTTATGCAGGAAATGAATCTGCTTCCTACATCTTATCAGTTACTCAATGACTGGATCCGAACTTCAGACCGAAAACTTTCCTTCCTTGGATACACCAAATTTTTGCATGGTGTGACAGTACGTAGTTCCAATACTAGACATCGATAAATGTAACCCCGGATACATAATTTTTTCGTCAAAGTTTCTACTGAAAGTGTCTCCGATTCTTTTAGAACCTTGTCCGTCCCTTTGGCGAGTGAAGTGGTATGGGTCTATCTATGTCAATAATTTGTGAGAATATATGCAAAAGAATTGTTCAAGACCCTTGAAAACGCATCGACATTTGTAAAACGTAATCCGTATATTGTACCGGTTGTGATCGCTGCGACGGTAGAGGCAATGCAGTCGAAGAAAGCTTTTGTATTTACATTTGTGTGGGTTGTTTGTGCTCATATCTTTGAAGGTAAGGTTACAGAGTCTTGTAAAGACATTCAAATATAAATTTAGAAGGTTGCTTTGCACTGTAATTTCAAATTTCAAGCTCCATGTTACCAAACTTTGGAAACCGAGTATTGTTCGGCCCGACGGCTCGTTTTGATAACCATTTCAGTTTTTATTTGTTTTTTTTAATATTAAGAATGAAAATAGTTATCAAGCAAGTTAAATTGAAAAGTGGCGTGAAATTAAATGATAGGGCTTTTAGATCTAGGTCCAAAAACATATATGGTTTTTAAGAGTGAGTCAAGTTATCTAATTACATGTTTTTATTTCTTTTATACTCATTTTATATTTTTTAAATATTAAAAATCAATTAAAATCTTATGATATTATGCATTTTTCAACTCCAAAAAATCTAATTAATATCTTACAACAACAAAAACTAATATACTAACATAAATTATCTACAAAATATTCTACCTTAACTCAAGTAACAAATATATGAATATATATTATACATGTAAGTGAGATATGAAACCTAACTAAAAGGTAGGAAAAAACATAGTATACCTACAAGCAAGACACATTAATTTTTGACACGTTGATTATAAAAAAGAATATGTCATATAGATACATAAAAATAATTAACCTGTGATATAGGTTGATTATAAAAATTAAAAATAAAATCTATAAATGTGGTTTAAAGCAGGAGGAAGAACAAGAAATAACAAAAAATAAAAATAAAAAGAAATAATCAAAGAGATAATTATGAAGAAATTTGATTTTTATAATAAATCTTATCATTGAATAGATAATTATTGATAATTAAATAATTAAATTTATAGAATTGGACTTATTTTAATAAATTAGACTATTCCTACTATTGACTAAAAAAATTGGACTTATATCAAGTTTTTTTCTTATTTATTTTATTTAAAGGTCCCTTAATTTTTCATCAATTCAGTGGCGTTGATTTGTTTATATAATGTAAATTCATAAAATCTTCCTTGTATTTCTGTATTTGTATACGGTCAAAGTTTCGTGTTACTTATCGTTTTCGAACCAAAAAAAAAAGTTTGGTGGTACTGGGATGGGTTGTACTTGGTCAGTTGCTGGCTGGTTAGCTGGCCTCTTGATGAAAGTCAATGTCCAATAGACTTCTCTTTGGCAGTGTGTTCCAATATGTTTGGACGATAATATTGATATTATATATATGTGTGTGTGTGGGTGGCAGGTCAGTGACCCAATTTTTTACACACGTTTTTGTAGGATTTATTTCGTACTGTATTTTAATGATTCGAACTGTCTATTTTTTAGGTCTTTCCTCAAAGATTATGTCTGTAAAAATCACCAAAATCTGAAACTGTTTAACAGTTGTACAAGGAGTTCATACTTGTAAACTTCCAAATGGACATGATAAAAATGTGATTATATTATGCAGCCAAATGTGAAGACCTGCCAACAACCATGCTAGTTGCAACCGGTGGAATGCAGAAGCCAGACGACATCAAATGATTGGATCAAAATTTCAAAATATTAATTCGTGTTGCCTTCACACTTTTTATATCTAAATACTAGCTGAGTAGGTCGTTCAGAGTATTATAAAACTCAATTAATTCAAATTTTCGGTTGACATATTCTATTCGTTGAGTAGACTCATCGTCCTCTCAACACCTATAGCATATAGTTTATGTGCACTTAAACTCTTTCTAGGTTTTTTTTTTATGGAAATGTACGATATTTATTTAAGATGTCGAAAAAATAAATACAAGAAGACAAAATATAAAATAAATTGAACCTATGAAGAAAAATTGTTGGGACTTCCAAACTGGAATCAAGGAAACAATTGGCCACCATTACAGAATAAAAGAGAAAAATATGTAATCACTCAATAGAATTATGGTTAATTTACCATTACAATTTGTAGCAGAAGTTTAACCCGTTTTGCAGCATAACATAAGTTTAGATATCAAATTCGTTATTTATGAGTGTTAAACTTAATGTTTCTCGGTTACATGTAACATCACACATTGCCCAAGGGAGTGGATCCTCTATGCCTTATATCCATGATGGGTGATCCACTGGGAAGTTCTCGTCTGAGTTCCTATAAACAAAACCGTGAGACGCGCTATATGTAGTATGGATCTTAGAATCAAGTGATATTTTATGGAGTGTTTATTTGTTGTTGAATTATAATGTGTCCATAAGTCAAAGGCGAATCCGTTCACACGGACCACCGTACGAAGGTGGGTAACCGATCCTTTGTAGTATGGAAATTTGGGTCCCCTCCGGACCTTAGATACCGTATGGTACGTGTGACGGGACAGAACGGAACGGAGTGGGACGAAACATTCCGTCTCATGTTTGGTGCGCGGCGCGCCTAAAACGGGATGGATCCTTTATGCCTTATATCCATGATGGGTGACTCACTGGGAAGTTCTCGTCTGAGTTCCCATAAAAAAAACCGTGAGGGCGTGGTCAAGACCCAAAACGGACAATATCATGCTACGGCGGAGTCGAGCCTGAGATGTGGTGGGTGTTGGAAATGTGCCCTAAAGCCAATCATGTGATGATACTTTACGGACATTTCACATGTTAAACTAATCTAGTTTTACAAATAAAGGGCAAAGATTATTGTTTGAGCCGTCTCATATAAATGTTATATGCTTAAACGATAAAGTCCAAGGAATATGTGATTGGGAGAATGCAATCTAATGAAGTTAGATTCATGAGACCATTCTTTCGTAGACACATCCTAAATGTTCCTGATCATAGGATTGTCAATTGGGCATTGACAGTCCGTTAAGATCGGTACGTACTATGTCTTCTCTCAGGGAGAGTGATTAGTCTCGAGTCATTGGTGTGTGTGACATCAAGACAAGTACGTAGGTGCTCAATAGAGAATGAGTCCACTGAACGTGATCAACGAAGAGTTCTTATATTCCATGTCACATGAGAACTCATGGTTGGGATAATGCAAAGTAGTCCTTTGACCTGAGGCATCACAGTTGTCTTGTGGTTAAGTCCTTAATCTTTGATTATGTCTAATTCACCCCCTCGGGGTGTCACGGCATCGTTGGGGTTAAGCCACTTAGTCATGGAGACAAGTGAATGCGCAACAAGGGATCTCTAACCTTCAAATAGTTGAGGGAGAATACTCTATGATATGATTTGGAATCTCTGGCCAGAGTATGAATGAGATTAGGGAATGCGTTCCAAATCACATTCAAAGAAATCATATAAGCAAACGATTCACATTGGATATTATACATGAACAAATAAACTATCAAATCAAACAATGTGGTCAAGAGTATTAGATTAGAGAAAGACCGTATTGCATTTGTAATCCCGAACTGAATAGGTTCTCTAACCTCTTCTGATTAGCTTGGGTAACCATGACATGCTGCTAGGCGTCAACCATGGTTTGTGGAAGCCCTATACGTGTATAACCACTAAAGGGAGAATTGAAAATTGTTTCAATTCACAATCGATGTAAAATGGTTTTAATCGCCCACTGCCTCGCTAAAAGGAACCTAATGGATCGCACACCATAAAAGGTGGAGATTGAAGATTAAACGGAAATGAGTAAGAATGATTAAATGGTTTAATCATTTAATTATGGCAAGGATTAATTAATATGTTAATTAATCAAACGAATAAGTTCGTTAAAGACCTCGGGATAGTTTTGGACCTTAAGGCCCAATAGGCTTCGAAAGTCAAGCCCATTGACTTAAGTTGTATGACAACTTAATGAATAAAGATTCACAAAGGCCCAAAAGCCCAAAAATCCATAGGTAGGCCGGCCATGTTAGATGAATTAGGGTTTTGGTTCTTTAGGTCACTTATTTGAAGGGACTATATAAAGGACTTTATAGCCAAATATTCATTAAGGTGATTAAGGGTTTATTTTGGGGGAAAATTGGTGAGAATTGTCTCTCCATTTTCTCTCTAAAGAGGCCAACACCTTGGAGGGTACATCTAGCAATCCTACTACTCCAAGGTCACTCATTTCTTCTACAATCAAACCTTGGTGAAGAGACTTAGAGGTTCTCAATTTTGGGAACTAGGAGAACCATATTCTTCCATCCAAATCCATGGATCTAAGAAGCAAGGAATGAAGGCCCTATCTCTTTGGGTGATTAGCCTTTGCTTATGCAAAGAGGAATCTACAAAGGTATTAATTTCAACTCACTTTGTTTTTGAGTTGATTATTGGTTCACCAATCTACTAGGCTTTGAATTTCATGGGTAATGTTTTGTTTTTGAATGCATACAAGCATGATTCCGCCTTTAATTTGTTAATTGCATGCTATAGATGTTATTCAAATGAACATGTTTTTCAAAATAATTCCTTCAGTGGGGGCCCGGGCCGGGATGTGACAATTTGGTATCAAAGCCAATCCTTGGCCGAAAGTGTGCCGACAAGGACGTCAGGCCCCTAAAGGGGGTGGATTGCAACATCCCACATCGCCCAGGGAAGTGGATCTTCTATGCCTTATGTATATTCTCATATCTGCCTAACACAAGGCCTTTGGGAGCTCACTGACTTCGGGTTCCATCGGAACTCCAAAGTTAAGCGAGTTCGAGAGCAATCTCATGCAATCCCATGATGGATGACCCACTGGGAAGTTATCGTGTGAGTTCCTAGAAACAAAACCGTGAGGGCGTGGTCGGAACCCAAAGCGGACAATATCGTGTTACAGCGGAGTCAAGCCCGGGATGTGACATTACAAGTGAAGAAAATACCGCCAAAACTTATTTGACAATGTGTCACACACGATATGACATCCAAGGTTGTGGGGCAAAGTTCCAAATAAAATCCAACACACAAAATAAATCTGATGGCTGTGAGAAGGTAAGCCTCCACAGGCCCGCACCCACCCTTGCTTAGGACCGTGTCCTAAACGTTTGTTTGGTTTCTTATCTCCAACGACCAGCAACTTTCCTTCCTACTTTTATTTTTATATATTCAGTTCATCTTTATCAATAATCCATAACACATCATCAAGAACAAAAATTATATTTAACTGTTTAATAATATTACGAGGTCCCAAAGAATCCAAGGCCTCACATAATAATCTTCCTAATCAACATTTAATCAAACCCTAAAACACCAGGCATGGTGCTGATGGTGGTGGTTGTGATGGTGATGATGACCGTGGAATGAAGTCTCCCTGTCCACCATGCCTTGAACGGTGCGAAACTCCTCCACGTGGCAAGGAATAGTGATCGGACCTTTGTGATCGAATCCGTACTCTTTCTCGGCCTCCTCCAGCAGCTGCATGAAGAGAGGGTGGTTGATGTAGATCACTGGAATCACAAACCTCTGCTGATTCTCCCCCTGGCCAACCATCACCGCCATACACCCTTTCGGGATGTCTTTCAGCTCCTTGCTGTTCTTGTCGTGGTGGTGATGGAGAAGGTGGGGGAAATGGAGGTGGAGGTGGAAGTTCAGGTGGTTGTGGTGGTGCTTGCTGTCCCTGTCGGCGGCGATAAACCCCATCTTTTCGAATCCAAGAATATCAAAAACTCGAAAAACCTGAAAAACCAGGAAACCCTAGAGAGCAAGAAAACACTGGGAAAACTTGAAGCTGTTGAATTAGGACTATAAGAAGAGGAAAGAAAATGGCCACGGATCGGAAGCGGAGATGGCGAGATTGAACAAGGTTAGGGCGGAGTCGGTTAACGATCTCGGAATATTGCTCATGATATCTGATCGGATTCAACAACCAACATAAATGTTGATGGAAATGGAGAAGGTGAGGGGTTCTTGAAGAGGGAGGGTTTGGTCTTTATAAAGTAGCTGCCGTAGGAGCTATGGCTTGCTGACCTTATACACAAAGGAAAAGGATAGAGATAGGAAAAAGCTGGAGAAGTCCTGGAAGGTTACAACTAATAAACTTATATAGGAAAACATTACAAAACGCGCCTGCTAATTACTATTTATTTGACTTTTTTATTTTATGGCAGTTACTAATTTGCATTCGGTATATGTGGAAGGAAAATGTAAATAGCAATTGCAAATTTGTTTCTATCTTTCCAAAACTTAGACCATCTCTAAAGGAGATGTCAAAAATGTCACATAAACATATAACAGTAACAAATAACATACCATTTACTCTAATCAAGATGTCAAAATTGACATGAAAAAGAAGGCTAAGTTGACATGAATAAAGAGATGTCAAATATGAAGCTGCCTCCAAATTTGATTTTTGCTATTCCAAATGCATTCCACTTATCTTACCTTAAATGCTAGCATATTTAAGTAATATTTTATTATTTTTAAACCAATAACAACCCAACTATTATTAATTTTGTTTTAAAAAAGAATTAATGAAGCAATAAATTTTGACGTATTGAGTAGAAAGAAAATATTGACAATATGTCAAATTGCCAAGTCAGCCATCAAATTGAAATTTGATGTTTTAAATTTGACGTCTCATTTGGAAATGCTCTTATAAGGTATATATTAATTACTCCAATCAAAACAAATAAGGTTATATAAATTAATATGTTAACAAAAATAATCTTTATAAGGGAGAATTTGATAACGTTTTAGGAGGAATGTTTAGAAAATTAAATGTGGAAAAATTATGAAATTTTTTTGGTATGCACAGGTTAGAATGACTGTAGAATGAAGTAGGATTTTCTTATTTTAAATTTTTTCTCCCATCCGATTCCCTCCTATTTGAACATCACAACGAAGCCACGTTAACTTATGTTCGTTTATTCATAAAGAGGGAAAGAAAAAGTAGAAAGTGAGACATAAGATGAAAGGACTGAAAGGGAAAGAACTTGAAAAGAAAAATCCTAATATGCATAAAATTGTTTCCAGTCATTTTACGTTCAAATTTGAATTCGCATCTAAAAAATCAAACATTTCAGATTTTAATTTTTTTTTTGTGTGGGTCAAATCATACATTTGAGATTCCACAATAAGTAAAAGAAACGAATTCTCCTCTCATAAAAAGGAAAAATAGAGGAAATGAAGGGAGATTGAAATCTTGGGGATGCAGCTTAGCTATCAAATCCACGTGGACGACGAGTGGCAGACGCTTCTCGTCATCGTCAGCAGTTGTGCGCGGTCCATACGATTGGAAAGTGCGACCGACGATGAGGTGTCACGTGTGCGTCACACCATATGAAGCCGGTCTAGTAACATGCCATGAACATGTCCAAGCATGGTTGGACCAGTTCTGTCGATTAGGGACGTCAGCATCATAATTTAGTTAAATTTTTAGGTTTAAATATCTTATCATTATCATTATCGTTATCTTTATAAAATACTGTTAATTGCCCATTGTTTTACTAGAAAACAAGATTAACCACAATTGCTTAACTGTGTACCCCTTAACTCATACCAAAACAAAATGGCCCCGAGGACGCAGACTGCGAGCGATTTGTGTGCAGCATCTCGTAGGAGGCAGATTCTTTGCCCTCCAGTGTCATTCTGTTTGTGTGGTCACGGTTAAGCCACATCAACATTTTATATTACTTTTATTTTTGGTCTTATTATCTCTATAAAAAAGGATCGGACGTATGATGTGGTTTAGTTTTCGGTTCCAAAATTTCTTCTAAACTACCCGAACTGCCCTTGATTTTTTAAGTGCTCCTAGTATTACCCCAGATGAGGCCATGCCCAACTCCAGTGATCCCAGTGTAGGAACGAATTTTGTGCAAGATATTACTGCAAAATCCTTGTTAAGAAAGGTCCGCATGCGCATTTTCTATTGTGTAGGGTTGCCCACAAAGATGCCTGTGCTCCTCATAATTTGGCCCCTCTTAAGTAGAAAATTTAGCATTAATCAACAAACTCCTGCGGTTGATTGATGCACAAGTTTTGTGATGGCCATTCCGAAACCCCTTGATCAAAATTTTAGTAAAAATGTAAATAAATTCTTAAAAAACACTTAAAACGCTTATGTGAAGAAGCACATAACTGGTATTTCTTACATAAGTATTTCAAGTGTTTTTGAAACTCAATAACATTTTCTTTAAAAGCGTTTTCTCTCATTTTAGCAATACTTCCAAACAAGTCATGACCATTTAATAATGGTTTAGCTATTTTTTTTTAAAAGTTAAAAGACTCAACCAGAAGGGGAGGTGATTACTGATTGTGTCGAGCATCAAAGGAAAAGTATTGAGCGAGTGTGCTTTCTTTTTCTTTTTCTTCTCCAACTTTTTACACAAGCATGAAGTAAAGCAGATCCTAATCCCTTCAAACATATGGCAAGTTTAATATTCAACAAATAATGCCCCTTGTTCAGTAATTCTATTTTACGACTTAGTTTACGTTTTTTTAGTTTAATCAACAGAGTATATGAATTCTTAAACTTATGATATCATACAATATTACGAAGAAAAATATTGCTAAACCAATAGTTGGTTTGTCAATTTACAAATATAAGTAGCTTGTGAAGAAATTAATAGCGTATTATTTTAACTGTCATATCAGGATTTATGATTAATTTAATTAATAGTAATATTATTCATTTCCTTTTCCGCCCACGTGTATTTTTCATAATTTAGTGCCATCTACCTTGATTGTAACAGCCAACTAATTTGGGCTTTCGACCTTTTTTCAAGTGGCTGGTCCAGAACATTATTCCTGGTTTTATGAGTCTCTTGAATGTACGTTCGATTTGCCCTTTTCGTAAACTAGAATTCATGTGGTAACAAAATGTTGAGTAACATATTTAAAAGTTGATATCTGAAACGGGAGAGATTTTTTAATGTATCTGAAACATGAAATACCATATGTTATTATATAAGTTGAGAGAATATTTTTTTTCTTTTCAATTAACCCTCTACTTGTATAATGATACATGATGTATGTGTCCGTGTTATGGACACATTGAAAAATCTCTCCATAAACGGGAAACTACATTTACCCAACTGAAAATGATTCAACAAGTTCAAAAATACATGCGAGACCAGCTAAGAGCATATCCAAAGAAGATGTCAAATCTAAAACATCAATTCTAAATTTGATGACTCATGTGGCAATTTCGCATCATGCAAAACTTCTTAATCCACCCGATATTTTTATGTTTTGTAATATTTATGAGTTATTTATTAAAGAAGGTGGCAAGTAACTATTTCAAAGAAACAAAAGAAGGAAAGGCATCCTCTTCGGATCCCTTCCTCCTAATCTACTAAATTAGGGAATACGTGTCATTGAAATTTGATCCAACAACTACAAATAGGGGGCCACTTTAAAAGTTATAATAACATTAGTCATTGAATCAAATTTCAATGGCATGGATTCTCTGATTTGGTGGATTATGAGAAACGGATCCGAAGAGGATCCCTTTCCACAAAATAGGTTGTATTCATGGTATGCCCTACTCTTACCCTTAATCAAATTAAAAATAATTTGGCATCAACCTTTCTTGCTGTTATTTTTTACGCTAGAAGCTCCTCCTTCAGTCCAAGTCAGCATTTGGCTTACCGGTTGGATGCTCACTGACATTTTTAAATTTCTTTTGAAGATGCTCTAATGTGCTCTATAAGTTTAACACAAAACTATATATAAAAAATATGAATGGGAACATTTTTTTAAAAACAAAATATGAATGGGAACTTTGCTTTGGGACAAAGAATAATCAATATGAACGCACTAAGTTAGGTGCGCAATTTTTTGTGGAGAACTATTTCAAATTTCATGAATGATCATATGGTTGTTTCTTTTTCTTTCTTATTCATATTCCAAATTTTACTGGTCAAAATATTAATAAATAAAATAACAACAATAAAGTCTCATGCCACTAAGTATGGTCATTTGTATGAATTCTAGAACGATGCTGCACTTTGTTTTACGCAAAGCCTTTTGTGAGCTCCAACTACTCTGTGTCTTTTCTTAAAATCTCTTTCCAAGTGTTCTTGGATCTTCCTCTACCTTTTTTTGCCCCGAGTTTCTGCCTCAGTAAAGAAATAAAAAGCGTCCAACATCGCACACATTAGCTTCCCAAATCCTTATATAATTTTATAAAACTACAGTTGTATCGTTGCACACACATTCTAATTGTATTATATGTCGACGTTTTTCCTTTTCTTTATGATCAAAATCTGCACTTCATGTTGTACATTAAACAAAACAAAATTGTACCGGAAAATAACATAAAACAGAAAGTGTAATTTAGATTAAAATTATGAACATTGATACATGAAAGTATGAGTTGGGCAATTGCTGGTCGTCTCTGCTCAATATTTGGGTTTGGTACTAAATGACAGACATGGAGAAGTCCAATCCAATCGCATAACCAGGCCGCCAATATAATGAGGAGCATTTCTCAATGGGCTTGAACTGGAATTCATGACAATGGAAATCAGTTGAGTAAAATATTATGAAAATTATACTACAAAAAATATGTTGTTACAAGTGAAAAATTTCGGGTTCATTAGAAAGAATGGTTTCAGCCACGGGGTGATTTAGTGGTTGGGACGAATTTTAGGCCTGTATTCCACACGGCGCGTTCTTGATTCAATCTCTAGTGCTAGTGAATCACATGATACTGACTATGAACACTGAAATGCCTATATGAGTATTTCAGACATTTAAAAAGGTAAACTGGCAAAACTACTAGTTGATTTCCTTTAAAAAAAATTAAGAATTAGAAAATATGAGTGGTACTAGAGAAATTAACTATTATTGTGGGCATAAGTATTATCAATTGTTTGCAACTTTGTACATAAGATATATGCATGAATCTCTGAAAGTCTATTTCATCTAGATTGAAGCATCAACATGATTTAATCTTCATAATCGAAATATCGTAACTGTATAAGTAGATAGTTATGACTAGAGACATGTTGTGAGTTGAGTTTCGTTATATATTACTTTATCTCACACAAATCATTTACCCGCAACTATTCA